TATGTCTGAAAAACATCTATATAAAATGACATTATGTCCAATATATATCCTAGTGTAAATAGTTTTTATAAATTATACTTAAAAAATGCTACCATTTATTAATTTAAATACATCTGGTATTTTTTGTGAAAATTTGGAACGTTCATCTTCCTTTTAAATGCTGCATCACCTAATTTGGATACATACTTATTTAAGAATATTCTAATGGAAAAGCTATTTTTTTTCACTTTACCCTATGAAGAGTGATCAGTTGGAACAAGTCATTAATCTATCGGTTGCTTATTTTTTATACCAGTATTTAATCTATCGTTACTTTTAATAAGCAAGCAAACAATAATTAACTAATTTTAGTTGTCTGTATTCATGTTCAGTTGACACTAAACTCAATGATGCTACAGCCCAGTGAGAGTCAAGGCCTACTATTTCCATCCCAGTTCCCTTGAACTTGGGCTCTGGGGTGCAGGAGCAAATGTTAGGGTTGGGTGGTCAGCCGAATATGGGAACTGCAGTGTTTAGTTTGCAAGCATGCTTCGTACTCTTTCATCGACTCACTGAAGGGATGAAATACGCAGTCAACCTTGCTAGGACTTAGGATAAAACCCCCAGACCTGTGACGCGGGGGTGCAAAATGTAACTAGGCCTTAATCAGTTAACAGAGAAAACTAGAAAAAGTTATGTCTTGTCTTGGAAAAATTTAATATTAGAAAAAAATATAATAATTATTTAATAGATTTTTGGCAGACACTCCAGATTTTGTAAGTTAAATATATCTGTAAAAAAATATCTCTAAGAAGAGCTTTAAATGTGAAAGCTATATCAAAGAAAAGAAAATCTTGCTAGCTTTAACATCATCTTATTAACATTATTACATCATCTGTTAGTCTGTTAACATTATCTATTAATTTATCTGTTGGAATCCTGCTAATATTGATTGATAGGTCTATTGTGCCTGGTATCAAGACACCTGCTGCGTCCAGAGAATAGGCGCCATTGTTTGAACTCTCAGAACAAGTCGTATTCCGCCTTCATATTTTTTGAAGCAAATGAATTTGTTAAATTATCAAATGAGTTTTAATAATTATTTTTTCAATTTTATATATATATATATATATATATACATATATATAACAGCGTGACCCGAAATTTTNATATATATATATATATATATATATATATATATATATATATATATATATATATATATATATATATATATATATATATATCACACAGTGAAATTCTCCGTTCCACTGTAAAATGGTCACTGATGGAGGTTTTGTACCTCCATTCACTAATTCAAATTTGTAAATCGAAGGTACATGATTCTTCGCAGATGACTTTAATTTTAGTTTGTGTAATTTTCTTGTTGCTTAAATGCCACTTCTATTAGCGTCATGAAAAGATGGATCTTCGAATTAAATTTAACGTCCATAAAAATGATCCCAACTGATATAATTATGCGTAAAAATAAATTTACCAATTATGAATGATAAAAATATTTTTAAGGAATAAACAATTTTGTTTTTTTGTTGTTTAAGTTTGCACTAATTTTTATATCGCAATAATTAGTTAGCTTTAAAATATGAGAAGAGGTTTGCTTGTTTTTTCTAAAATATATTTTTTTTCTAATTTAACTTTCAACTCTCGAAGTAAATCATTAATAGCATCGTCGTTAGTGCACTCTGATAGCAACATGAGGTTGTATTGTCAAAAAGAGCTCTTTAAATAAGAGCCTCACACAAATATTTCGAAAATATTTTAATCTACTTATGTGTTTTGTTAAATTTTCTGATTTAATATTTTTTGCGTTTCCTTATTTTATCCTTTTCCGCATTTGGTGCAGATGTTTGCCTGGTCGCTGGCAGAGGTTTTAATAGTCTCTCCTAAAGATTTTCTTCAACAAAGGTCTGTGGAAAAAATTCCGTGCCTCCAAACTTTATCCAAAAATAAAGATATATTTAAAACTGTTCTTTTGTAACTTAAAAACGTTAACATTTCTATTTAAAAAAAAAAAAAATTATGCATTTTGTCCAAAATCTTAATATTACTCTCTGAACTTAACTGAAAAAATTTAAACTTACTTAATTCTTTACTTCAACTTATCAATCACAGTCATATTACAAAATATAAACTTATCCAAAGAACAATAATAAAAAAAATAAATGCCTTTCCGTATTTGGAGAAGTTCTGAAAGTCTTTTCAACATTTTTTCCCCGGCCAAGTAGAATCGATTAAAGGAACCATTTTGAGATAGGGAATCCCCATGTGGGAAGAAGAGCAGACGACAAATTCTGCTTACTTTATTTGAGATCTTATGAAAGTTCTTCAAGTGTATTCCTCTACCAATTACATTACCTTATTGCTACTGCTTTTCTTCGATCTGCTCTCTCTGTAGAAAGAAATGCCCTCTTGTCATGGAAAATACTTTTTTCCCAGAGAGTAAATATAAAAGAAAATTATTACTTACTTTTACACAACTTCATGCCACAAGAGAAAATAACTGTTAAAATACAATAAAAATTCTAGCTTACTTTTACTTTTCTTTGCGCTACGAGAGGAAATTACTTATAAATTATCATAAAAATGACAGCTTACTATTACATTACTTTGTGTTATGAGAGGAAATAACTTTTTAATTATCATAAAATGACAGCTTACTTTTACATTACTTTGTGCTACCAGAGAATATAACTTTTAAGTTATCATAAAATGACAGCTTACTTTACATTACTTTGTGCTATGAGAGGGAATAACTTTTTCATTATAATAAAAATGACAGCTTACTTTAACCTTCCAGCTACGAGAAGAAACAACTTTTTAATTATCATAAAATGACAGCTTACTTTTACATTACTTTTAAAAACCTGAGAAAATAACTTTTAAAATATCATAAAATGACAGCTTACTTTTACATTACTTTGTGTTATGAGAGAAAATAACTTTTTAATTATAATAAAAAGGACAGCTTACTTTAACCTTCCTTTGTGCTACGAGAAGAAACATTACTTTGTGTTATGAAAAATGACAGCTTACTTTTACATTACTTTGTGCTATGAGAGGAAATAACTTTTTAATTTTTATAAAAACGACAGCTAACTCTTGTGTTATTTTGTGCGACAAAGGAAAATAACTGTTAAATTGCAACATAATTTTACACTACTTTGTGCCTCAAGAGAAAATAACTTAAGTTTCAACAAAAATGTTAGCCAACGTTTACATTAAGTTGTGCTACAAGGGAAAATAGCTTTTAAATTACAATGTAATTCTACAATACTTTGCTTTGAAGGAAAATAACTGTTAATTTGCGACAAAAAAAATGCAATTTACTTTTGCCATAATCCAAGCTTTCAGGGGAATATAAATGTTAAATTACAACAAAAATGACGACCTACTTTTTACATATGTGCTATAAGGGAAATCAGCCGTTAAATTACAACATACTCTTAAATTGCTTTGTGCATTATCCACATTACTTCATTAATCTATGCAACAAGGGAAAATAACTGTTCAATTACAACATACTGCTATGTGTTGCTAGGGAAAGTAGTTGTTAAATTATGACAAACTTTACAATTACTTTTTACATTATTTGGATTACTGCATAAATCTAAGCAACAAGGAAAAACAACTGATAAATTGCAGCAAAAAATACAATTTACTTTTGCATTTAAACTGAGCTTTGAGAAAAAATAACTTAAATTACAACAAAAATGACAACTTATTTTTGCATACAAGCTGCGAGGGAAAATAATTGTTAAATACTAAAAAACAATAAAAGGAAAAGAAATTTAAGACAAATATAAAGTCTAATTTTTATTTTAAATTTGCTTGATTTTTTTTAGTTTTCTCCTTCATTTATTAATTGTTTCTTGAAACATTTCTGTGCTATTTTATGTTTTCCTTTTAAACTATAATTAGGTAACTTTCATGAGGTAATTTGAAAGTTTTTATTTTGTTTAGTGATGTTATGTTACTGTATGAATGGATTAAAATTAAGGTGATTCCTTCGTCCCATTATGGATTGCGTGTTAGTACATGAAAATTTTATTTTTTACACGAAAGTCATGCCGATGCTCTGTTTTTATTTCGCTATCTGTTCGAAGTGGTTTACACATTGCGATTTTAATTAAATCTCTAGTTAATTCTTTTAATATACAGTATCTACAACATTTGTTATCTAAAGGAACGAAACGCGAGACTTATTCTCTTACATCTAACTATTCATTTAAATTACAGGGGTTGGACAAAGTAATGAAAACACTTCTATACCAACTCCTTTTTTCATATTTCTCAAGAAATACTTAAAGAATTATTTTAAAACTTTAGAAGTGTTTAAGTCACGCAATTTCTCATCAATAAAGTTTAAAATGTGAGGGACCGACAATAAATTACGCACGCAAAAAAAATGTTTCTGAACACCTTATGCCAAACAATAAGCTTGTAACTTACGATATATGCAATAACTGCACAAATTTTCATAAACCTAGCTTAAATATTCAAGATAATATAGAAATTTTTATAAAAAAAACTATTTTTTTTTTAACTTTTGTTTTCTTATTTTAATAGCTGAAATAGTCATTAGAATTAAACAAAATTTTTCGAGCAGTTTTTAATTAATAGTAAAAATATAATTTTAAAAAAATCATTAAAAATTGCGCTTGATATGAGTATTTAAAGTAATCATTTTATACTGTGCTTGCGCAGAAAATATCTAAATATTTCTTTTTCCATAAATTTGTTTTGAATCATATTTGGTAACTAAAAAAAGTCCGATTCGAATATCTTGAAAATTTAAAAAGTTTCTAGTAATTTTCTTAATAGTTCTTGTTAATTTGGAAGGAAGGCTTTGAGTAAGGGGTTTTCCATAAATTAAATTTTGAACTATGAAAAAATATTTATTAAAAATGACATCGGCATTGTATAGGATCACACCCCATTAAATTATATTTTATTATAACAATATTACCAAACTAATCTCATGCTTTCTTTATTTATTTCAGGCTATTTTAACCACGAAAATGGAGATAGAGCTGGATTTTACTTTGCGATTGTTTGTATTTTTGTAGGAGGAATGCTCCTATTTTTCATAGATGTTCACAAAAGAAATGTAAAACGTCAAAAAAGTAACACTATGAGCTCTAACTATGAGCCAACAGAAAATGAACGCATGGACAGAAGAGCTTATTTCAATAGACGTGTGACACTCCAAGAACTCGCCAATGCACGAATTTTAGCCAAGCACAAAATCTCAAATGACTTGTTGCACAGGCAAGAACTGACTTGCATTTCGGAAGAAGTGATGATGGAAAATATATTCGACGACTACATCGATGACTGTATTACATCGTGCAACAAGGAAGAAAAATACTTAATGCTCAGTGAATTCGAAAACAATTTAATCAACACTCAAGAGTCGTCTAGCGTCAGTCAAGAATTTCGAAAGCTCGCGAAGGAACGTAAAATATCCATTGTCACAACACCCTCTTTAGAACAGTGTCCGAATTGCTTAGGAGTTGTGCCAATAGATGGCAGCATTGAATGTGGATTTGAACGAGAGCCAGATCCTGCTGATATTCCATTGAAAACTCACGTTTCAAGATCGTCTGCTAAAAGGTTAACGGCATCAAAGAAGAAAACTAAATCCAATTCTATTCAAAATGATATTATTGACGAGGTTACGTCGTCTCTCTAATAAAATTTTTACCAGTTTTTGTTCATGAATTTTCCTATTCTGAAGAAGATGGCAAAACCATGCTGAAAAAAGCAGTTGTAATCAAAATTCTAATAAAATTTTGAAAAATTCTAAAGCAACTTTGTCCCTCTGGCGTGCAAATTGTTTGAGTGTTCGAAATAAATTTTAATTAGCCCCTACCGTGGCAAGTTTTGTCCAATCTGGCAACACTTGTTCCAAAAATATTGCAAATCACTATAAATGTAAAGTTATTTGCTTCGAAGGTTCCATCGCTTTTTAGAAAATACTTTTTTTTAAAAATCAAAATTGAGTTCAAGCATATTTGCTTAATTAGAATCCATGATCTACAGTCACATGTGCTAATATGCTGCCTAGTTAAAATTTTCTTGAAAAATTTGTTGCGCCGGAAATGGTTAAAACTATTTTAAGTTTTACGTTAACAAATAATGTTAAAAACTATTATCCAGCCATTATGGTTATGGTGACAGAATAAACCACTACTTTTTTCCTACAGACACGAAATTATGTAAGAAAAAATTAGAGTTAGAACGATAACGCGTGATCGATACTTTTTTCTCATAACTGCCTACCACCGTTTTGCTTGCTAATAATAGTTTCAGCGCCATTTCAATTTTTTCTTATGAATATCACGTTTCGATGTTAAATTTTCTTTCTAAATTTGTTAATTTTAAAAAAAATTTTCATTGTAACCATAACCGTGAGATCTGAATAATAAGTATTCTTTAAGCACATACTTTATAACTCTTGTTTTGAAAAATTTTATTTCATTTTTGAATGGCATGCTTAAAAGTTCAAAAATGGTATAATTTTTATATCACTTGTATGTTCTAAAATGGTTATGTGCATTTTTTGCTGTGTGTATGATTGTAAAAGACAAAAAAACAGAAAGATTGACAAATACTTCGATTTTTATAAACTTTTATAAATGTTTCTGTGCGAGCATGTGTACAATTTGAATGTTAATCATTGTTTAATTGTGAAGAACTTTTCAAATATTTATAGTGTACATTTTGCATTAATATTGAATTTGTGTTATTTATTATTTCAAAATAAAAATGGGAAACTCCATTTTAAAATAAATTAAATTTGTGAAATTATTAAAATAATTTATGAGACAAATGATATGTGTTCCTTTCTTACAAGGTAACTAAGGCCTGGTTACAAAAATAAAAACGGTATCTAAGGTTTCTTAAAACTTCAAAAAACGTTTAATCTTTCGCAAGTCGAAATCTTTAAAATGCTATATAAGCAAAGAGGAGAAAATAAGAAGCAGCACGGCAACTTTAATAAAGTATATAAAATTTATATGAGCTGACCTTTTCCTAATGATACTGCTAATTACAATGATGAAATAAAAGTTTTTCATTATTCCGTTTAGGAATAAAATGTTCAAAACTCGCTTTTTATGTTATTTACGTGTCATTAAAATAGTTTTTACCTTTTTGCATGAAAGAAGAGAGGAAAGAGAGCCCATTTTATAGGAAAAAAATATTAATATCGTAAATCAATAACTTTGATTTCAATGAGTTTTAAACTTTAAGGAACTATTAACTATAGCAACTGGTGCCGCCATCTAGTGATGTTTATAAAAAATAAATGTTCATCATTTACTTTCATTAGATTCTTTAACGTACTGCGTTTGTAAGGCTCCTTTTTTTATATCTACTACACAATTAAAGTCTGATTTTTTGGAGAAATGAAAAGGAACTGGTCGAGACTTAAAACTGCTCGAATATATCCCTCTCTGACTTCATGTTCACTTATTTTATTCGAAGTCTCTGTCACAAGTTTGACGTATTTTTCCATAGCCTGGAAGGAACAGAGAAAGATTTTGGTATTTCTCTGGTGCCAAAATTGATGAATGATTTAATACCATCTTCATTAAAGTCTTGCAGCATTGAGGGAATAAGCCACTTAAGAATTCCAATGAATTACTTTGAAATGACATTTCAAAGTAACCTAAAACTTGAAAGTTTATACTCGGTAATAAATTTGGTCTTTTTGCAGCTAACTCCTGCCAACCAACAATATCTGTTGAACATTTCAAATGCAGTCACCAAGGGGCATCGTCCAGAAGACTTGGTGAACCTGTTCCTTTGTCCCATTCCAGACTGCTAACTGCTGTCAACCAAGTTCAGGTTGTGAATAAAAAATATCTTAAAAGTGAAACAAAACCATCATAAGGAAAACAACTGTTAGAAATTTCGTATCAGAAAACTTAAATATTTAACCTTCGGTATTACTTTGAAATTATTAATTTGAATTCTTGTGTATCCTTCACCGATGCTGCATCACATAAGTGAAGATAATCTTAAATCACACATGAGATCTGACTGCACGCATTAGAGATATGTCAAAATTTCCTTATCACTCACAGGTTGTGGAAAGAAGCCTCATACTTGAGGCAGAGACTTCGAATCAAATATTTGAATATGAAGTTAGAGTTGGATATATGCGAGCAACATTTAATTTTAGATGTAATCCATGTAATGCGTTCTAGGTTGTTCTGATCTAACATAATGAACGATACATAGTGAAAATTAAGAAAAATTTGGAAAACTACTGTTTTGCTTTCCTATTCTAAAGAGTTACTCGAAAGTAAATTAAATAATTCTCCAGAATTTAATTTAGGTAATTTAATCCATCAAAAAAAGCATAACAAACTAAAACATGTTTTTTTTAACACTAGGTTTACGGGACGCGTCAATTTAACGCATTTCGAATTTTATAATTTAAAATTACAAAACCCGTTTGCATTTTTATTTTATCTCTTGTAATGACTTTCATCCATTGATCGAGGTAAATATATATTGAAGTCTATTTTCATCAAAAGCGTTGAAATATTGTAATTCTCTTTGTGGTATACCTATCTCAAATGAAACAAGCGATACACAACTGTTGCCGATAAGCAATAATAGAAAGAACAAACGCAGAATGTCAATTGATGTCAGAGTGTCATTTTGAAGGTTTCAGTTGCTTATTTCAAGTATTGAAAAATAAAATATTAGAATATTTCATAAGTATATACCTCATATTTTTTCTTATAGTATATAATTTCATTGCTTTCTAAGTGCAAAGATGCCAATTGCTCCAGACACGCTGAAAGAATTAAAAAAACAATAAATAACTATAACTACTAAGTAAATTTTGCAAAGACAAAGTAATGAATTGTATTAGCCTACGAATTATTTAGAAATAGTGGTGGATAAAAATCTACTAAATTTAATTTATTAAACCAAGAATCACAATTGATAAACTACCACTTTAAAATATATATTTGCTGTCCGGAGCAAGTTGGTATCTCTCTGTAAGTGCTGCTATATGTATTCGTCCATGCGTCAAATTGACGCGTGTTCGTAGAGATAGTTATATAAGAAGCGTCCGTAAACCTAATGTTAAAGTAGTTTTAGCCAACTTAAAAAAATTGAGAAAAAGTTGAAATTTTTAAAGTTTTTATTGATTTTAAGTACGATACGCGAATGAAAGATATTAAAAAAATTTATGCCATTTTTATTTTTATTACAGTAGGCAACTTTTAAAGCATTCCAAAGTACAGAAAGTGAACAATTTTTTTTTTTAGTTTCAATACTAGCAATTTTAAATCATTAAAGATTTAAACAATAATTCGGAGAACGTAGCCCTCAGAGCTATCTGCTCCTTCATCTAATTGGATTGATACAATGAGGGAAGAAAGGGGTGGGATATATTTACGAAAACGTAAAATGAAATAATCATACATGAATACATTAATGAGGGATACAATATTAAATCACATCACGTTACAAGATTAACATATTTATACTAGAATGATTTTTTAATTATAGTGGTACAGAAAATGAAAAAAATCTTTCAATCTCCTATGCTCATTTCGGCCTATACACATTTTTCAAAATTAAAACACCATTTCTTAAAGCTTTAATCCACAGTACCGAACAGCTTTGTCATGTAAAATTTTCCAAAACATTTGCTACTAAAAGATTGTTTACATAGTGTTAAAATTGAAGTGTTTACATTATTTTAATCAATCACTGCACATGACCATCACCTCCTACATCAAAAAGCCTCCACACGGTCTTTTATAAGTAGTCNCCACTTTAAATATGAAAATAAAATCTTCCGGAAAATCCGGAAGAGTTGGCAGGCATGTATGTCCATTAGCTATGTCCAACTAAATAGCTATGCTCAAACTTAAGCTACCGTTTTTTACTTTTTGTTATTCTGATTCCCTACGAATACATTTATGACTTGCCCGTCCCAAAAAGGGTAACGGGAACTTCTCTCAAACATTTCAATGTTTTCTTTCACCCGTGATAAGTATTCTTTTTAACCGACAGAGGCTTCGAATCAAATATTTGAATACTTGCTTTTTAAAAGGCATAGCAAGAAGTAAAAAAACTATAAGTGGTGAATTGTATAAGCCTACGAATTATTTAGAAATAGTGGTGGATAAGAACCTACTAAATTGAATTTATTAAACCAAGAAACACAATTGATAAACTACCACTTTAAAATATATATTTGTTGTCCGGAGCAAGTTGGCATCTCTGCAGGGGTGAAAGCGAGACGGAAAAGAGAAAAGGCTGGTAGTAAAACCATTTCATTTATAGTTAGTTTTCGGGAGGAGTTTACTCATTCTTTTTTTAAACTACTCTACAATATCTATTTTATCTCGGAAAAGAAGCAGTTTCATATATACATCACAATTATGAAAGAAATCTTGGTAGTTACAGATATTTTATTTTTCTCGAAAAAAATGCTATAATAAAATGTCTTTCGTACCAGTTTTTAATCTTTTCCGTCTTGCTATATAAGGGCTTTCACCCATGCATCTCTGTATATTTTATTCTTGAATAAATGTTATAGCTTACAATCCGATATAAATGATAAATATCAGTAAAACGATTTTTTTCTTCTTCTTAGCTTTCGCATTTTCAATTCTCGATTATATTCGAGTGTGAAAATTTTTATCAGCATAAAATACAAAGCCGCTCGAATTATCTCGAGAGCACAAGTGAAGGGGTTAAGCCTCGATTCTCCAAAAATTTAGACTTCATGTGTAGTAGATACAAAAAGGAAACTTAGCAATGCAGTAAT